AAGTCTTTGCTCAATCACTCTCTCCCAGAGTTTCATGGTATGAATTATAAGCTTAATCCCTCGATAGGTTTCACATTCTTATACATCACCTTTATTCTTAAATAAGGGAATACGAGTACTCTTTCTCCAACTCGTTGGCATCTTGTTGTTTCTCCAAATCTTGTTGAAGAAATTTGTTAACCACCCGATGCCTCTCTCTCCTAAACTTCTCCAAGCCTCGATTGGTATGCCATCTGGATCCACTTGTTTCTTCCACCCCATCTTCCTCGGAGCCTCTTTAACTTCTGTTGTCTGGATCCTTCTCACAAAATCACGATTTACCATACAATCTAGTATGGTCAAATCACCGATATCTTGCACTTTGTTCCCGTTGAACAATGTATCAAAGTATGACATCCACCTCTCTTTTATCTCACTGTCCTCCATTAATATCCTTTGATCGACATCCTTCACACACTTAACTTTTCCGATATCTTGAGTCCTGCGATCACGAAGACGAGCAAGTTTATAGATATCTTGTTCTCCTTCCTTAGAGTCCAGTTTTTCATACAACTCCTTGTTCACTTTCCCTTGTGCTTCCTTTACTGCTTTCTTTGTTTGTCTTTTAGCCTCCTTGTATGCTTCTATGTGCTCATCACTCCGACTTGTCCCCTGCTTTTTGTAGCAATCTCTTTTGTTCTTTATGGCTTGTTTCACCTCATCATTCCACCAAGACGTGTCCTTTATGGGTGGCAGACATCCTTTAGATTCTCCAAATACCTAACAGCTTTGCTGCTCTTTTTGCTACTCCAAAGAGAAAATAAAAAATTACAACTAAAAGATCCGGCTTCACCAGCTACCAGAAGGGAGAATTGGTTTGACCAGCAACCAACAAAGGAAATTAACTCAATTGAGCAGAAATTTTCTGGGTCATCAGTTTGACCAGCCGCCGAAAAGGAGATCCAGTTGAGAGCTATCTTTTTCTTCGAGTGAGGCGGTGGTTCTGGAGGAGGGCGAATAATTGAAGCTTCAGACGAGCCAGGTTGAATATATCTTTCCAACCATGAATAATGAACCACTCGATCAGTAACACCGACGAGGAAGATACAATCTGTAGACGTTGCTGGGAGAAGAACAAAACACACGCTCACATGAAGCGGACATAACTCTCGGCCAAAGAAGATGCCGGACCAAAACCACAACCCTAGAAGATATAAATGTAAAAAGAGAGACATCATAGCAAAATCTAAACCTTTAGTTCATTATTGTTTGTAGAACATCAAAATCATCAAAACTCTTGCCAATCTTGTAGACTCCACAGACGAATTGAAGAGAATCATCAACAACCTAGATCCACCCTGCGGCGGCGCTAGGTTTTTTTACTTCTCCATCGAAGTGGTATTTTCTTTTTACGCAATTAACAAATTAGGGGATGAATTAACCCAATGAACAATTATATGATTGCTTTGAGTTAAACTTGGAATATGCTACTTAAAAACTACGTCAGTAGTATGGTTCCACCTTCAAGAAGCCACATTAAGATGAGTCATACCCCTCTCCATTTCCTTCTCTCCATTTCTTTTTTGCTCTATCTCTCCTTAAAAAAATAAAGTCCCGTTTTTTATTTTCCCCTACCCCACCATTCCCCCATCTGTCTCTATATCTCTCATACTGGAAATATCTGAAGAGGAGCACAATTCCATTTAGATCCCCAAGCAGTGGTGGAACTTATAACTTATAAGGAGCGCTTGACCTACCCCCAACAAAGTGATTAACATTTTTCTATATTATGTTAATATATAGTATAAAAAATTATGAAATTTTAGTGGTCTAATTTAATGAAGTTTGACTTGAAATTAGTGATGTATAGTAAAACTACAAATATTATGCTTATTAACACGAGTGGTGGAATTAAGGTTTTATTTATTGTATTTTTGTTCGTACTAATAATATTGGAAATGAAAATAAAAAATACCGAATAGTGTAAAATATTTACACCTTTTCACTTTTATTTTAAATTCATTTCGTTAAGTTTGTCATTTAATTATCATACATAAGTTTTACTCCGTATTCCCATTAAAGCAGGGCGTAGGCAAGGGGAACTTAGATCACAGCTCACCCCAAATTTACATATTAATTAAATTATTAGGTTAAAAGGTCGTGAATTTTTTTAAAAAAGACTATGTATGAGTCCACCCCAATATTCCGTCCTGCTTAATTACGCCACTGCACTAAAGAAAAAATGTAAGAATTTTATATCCCGTGCATCGCACGAGTACTATAAGAAAGTATTTACATGATACTCCTATCGCGCTAAAGTGGTTCTATCTTTTCTTTTCGACCCGTTCCACTAGATGTATATTAATTTGGTAAAATTTGTATAGTTCCAAAATGTTCTTGCTTTATTATTATTCTTAATTTATCACTTCAACGTCAAACACATAAATTCTACTTTCTTAATATGTGCACTATTTCGTCATTTTCCAATATTAATGGGACGAAAGCATTATTGTTTATTGAATTTAGTTTATAAATACTTGAGAATTATTTCAAAATCTTTATATTATATAAAGTAGCAAAGTTGCTAACTCTGTAGAGGGAAAATTGCCGCCCATTGTAAGGGCATATTTGTAAATTAAAGTGCCACATAAAACTGTAATCCTATCGTGCCGACATTTATTACTACATGCACGCTAACTAATTTTTTTTCGTACCATACATATACATACTTTACATATAAGTTAAGCTAAAAGTTTGGAAGTAATTACCTAAAATTTAAAGTCCATTAGAGTGATGATTTTGAAGCCATTCATTAAATTGATGATAGCAATGTTTATTGGTTCAAGGTTAGTTTTTGGAGTATTTGACACCACCCAATCTTTAAGTATATTTAAGTTACACAATTCAGGATACATATCAAATTTAGTAATGAGTTCTCTCTCATGTATTATAAATGGTATTTTTCAATAAATGTAATGATAGTAATAAAAATCTCTCATAGCATGTGTTCTAATGGAATACATTATATGTTTGTGTAGTAATAATATAAAACATTAAAGTTGTAAAATTACTTTCTCCAATATTACTTATATTGGTGCTCATAGTGGAGTCTACAATAATGAAATATTAACTCCTAATTTATTTACAAAATTTTCTCTTATTTAATAATAGTATATTGTAATAATAATATAAAGAAATAGGGAGTGATTCCAAATTTAGTTATTGATTTTCTGTCATTATTTAAGCAAAATGGTATTAATAATAGTCAATAAATATGGTCGTATCTACATATATTTAAGACCAATCAAATAATAAAGAGATTTATAAATTTAATTTGATAACAATTTTCCCACGCACACAAACATAGTAGTAGTATCACCTCCTTCAATATTACTACTGTGCTATTTACACCCAATAACAACTTATTTTCATTTCAAAACAACAACAACTTATTCAGTAATGATGAACAATATTTCAATTAACTACTTCAATATCACAAAAAAATAAGGTGAGTTTGTAAGTAAATATGATTTTCTCGAGATTTTTTTCACAAACATTACTGATTTAAAATTTATTTACAAAAATATGACTAATAGTTACTACTAGAGTATATTTTTGAAATAAAACTTACTAGTATTTCATAGTATATTTTATTGTGAAATTAATTTTGACACTTTATTTCAAATATATTTTGAAATTGCACCCTTTTAGTCTCCTATATTTTGCACCACATGATTATATTGCTTTACGTCTGTTTAACTTTTGAAATATTGAATATGATATATTTTTTGCAATATCTTTATGCTATATAAGTAATATAGTTCCTATAGTTATTGGAGGAAATATTGCACTCATTTTAATGGCATGTTTGTAAATTACAATGTCATAACAATTAGTCATCTCACCCGTCCGTCCATTACTATAATGTAAGTAAAGCTTTTATTTATGTCTAGCAGTAATATTGTGATTTTTAGTATTATTTGAGTATGAAATTTTGCAGATACGTATCTTACATTTTTTAAAAGTAGTTAAGGATTGGATTTATATTTATGATTTTGCGGTTTGAAATCAAAACAAATCGATCAAATCATTCGGTTTATAAACTTTAGTATCAAGTGCTTTAAAGAGGAGAACTAAAACCAAACAAAGTCCTATGTAAGACTGAACCTTTTTACCCACACCTAGAGGAAAGAATGAGTTTCTCATATAATCTTAGTGAAATGAAATTTATGGAGAGAAAAGTGATCGAAGTTACTACTCGTATATGAGTATAAAATTGAACAATATATTATGGGTAATCGTCGGTTCAAATTAGTTTGTTTTGGTTTTAACGGTTCGGTTTTTAGCAGATCAGCTTTAGAAAAAGTGAAACCGAAAACAGGACCTCAGAACTTGAGTTTTTTTCGGTCGATTGTATCAATTTCAGTCGATTTTAACACGTTTTGATCGGTTTTTGTACATCATTTTCACTTTCATTCAATTTGGTTTTGGTCGATTTTAGTTTTCATTGTTTTGTTCACCCCTACAATATAATACTAATAATTTAGAAATTTATTATCATGCTCTAGATGTCACCCGTGCAACGCACGGGTCATTAGTCTAGTAATGTAATACTACCTCCGTCCCACTATGTTTGAGACAATTCGGTTTACGATGCTTGACCGACGATAAAGCAAACAGATCCCTATCCACACTCAAATTATTTTTAGCAAAAAAATACATATTTAGAAACTTCATCAAAAACTTTTCAATGGCGCAAAAACAAGAATCAAATTTGATAAAAAAATTGATATATGAAGTAAGAGATTAAGAGTGATTTGTGTTGACCAAATGAATAGTGTGTGTGACAATCTTAGCGGGACAGAGGAAGTAATATTTGGAAACCACATCCAGTGTGAAGTTGGCGCCAGCGGTGGTGAATGGTGATTGACTTCAAACTTCAAATCTTCCGCACGACGGCGGCTCCACATCAACCTCAAATAAGCTCCATTCTTTAGAATCTCCATAATTCTTTCTGCATTCTAAAAAATGACCGTTTTAAGCTTACTTATAGCTCGAGGAGAGAATGGCAGCCACAACTATCGTTTCTCTTTCGGTCTCTCCTTTTTCTTTTGTTTGTCAAAAATGTCATTAGCAATTTGTAATTATAAAATTAAGTTAACTTTCTCAAGGGAACTTTGGTTTGCCAAAGCAAATATCAAATGGCTAAAAAACAAAGGTAAACAATGTTCTCATAATTTCTTTCTTCTTATCCTACCATGTATTTAGTTTCTCTAGGGTTGTGCATCCCGTTCTTGGATTCTAATATCCCGTCCAGTTTTTGACCAAACTTGTTTTTTTTTTTGTATTTTTTCGCTGCAGATAAGAAGCTAGCTAAAAAGAAATCTGAATTTATAATTTGGCATACTGGGATATTTGTTAAGTTAGGTCCTCTCTTTGACATGTAGAGAGGGGACCATATGAAGATTTGTGATATTTGACTTTAAATATTTTTGATTCTCTTCAAGTGCATTTTTGTTGGAAAGGTGTTTTGTTGTTAAGGAGATGAGACCAATTTGTGGGGATGAGGGATTTCCACCCCGATGGGATGGACAAGGTTCAAGTGCACATGAAGAGAAGATCTTTGTTTCGATCAGGGTGAGACCTCTAAATGATAGAGAGATTTCTAGGAATGATTTTGCCGATTGGGAATGCATCAATAATAACACCATTTTATTGAAGAATAGTCAGGGGGAACGTTCATCCACCCCTACTGCCTACCAATTCGGTAAGCATAAAGTATTGTTGAAGAATAAATCTCACATTGAATAAAATATAAACATATGAAGTGATAAACCAACATATAAAGCCTTGATTTTCTTCTCGTTAACTCAAGTATTATTATTGGAATAACAATCTATTCTTTGTGAGATTTTTTTATATATTTATATATTCGGTTCCATTTTTAAGCACACGTAGATTTTGAAAGTTTTGCATTGTTGAATACTTGAATGGACTTAGCTCTGTATTTTATTCATTTTAAGCCACATAAAATGTTTTCAAATGAATGTCATACTGATGAAATATAAATATATACAAGGAAATTTCCCGAAATAGGAGTAAACAGATTTTGTAATTCCAAAATAGGACTGTTATGTTTTTCTTCACGAAATATGAGCAACATGCAATATTTATTGGCATCTTGTAGTCATTACTGCCAAATAGTTGCAGTATAAGACATTAACATGGCCGATTCATGTTAGCCAACCCCAAAATCTTTTGGGAAAAAGGCTTGGATGTTGTTGTTGACTGTATTTTTCAATCTTTTCAATATTGACTCTTAATTCGGGAAGAATTCCAAATCCTATTTACTCCTATTTAGAGCGATTTCCCATGTACAAACAAACATATAAAGTATGCAATTACTTGTTGTAGCAAGTTGACTTTTATCATGGAAGTCAAGTTTTAATATGTGAGTAACAATCCATTCTTCGTGAGAGGATATAGGTGGGTACCACAGAAGAGGTAGGTTATCCCTGATTGGTTCATTGATTTAAGCAAAACACATTTTGAAATTTTATTTATGTTAATTGATTTTGTTCTAGTTTCTACTGTTTTTAATGTATTCATCCAATGCTACACCTCTTCTACTTCCTAAGATTTTTTCAAGAAAAAAGAATGACTGGTTATGTTTTCTTAGTTTGTTTTACTGTTATCTATGGTATTAGACAGAGTCTTTGGGTGTGAATGCTCCACAAGACAGGTTTATGATGAGGCTGCCAAAAAAGTGTTTCTTTCAGTTCTCAACGGCATCAATTGTATGATTCCCTATTCCTTTTTCTGTGATTATTTACTAAGTATCTAATTGAGCGAAAATTTTCTTAATCACTCGTCGAAGTGGTTCTCCAGCAAGTATATTCGCATATGGACAGACAAGCAGTGGAAAGACATTTACGATGTCTGGTGTTACCGAGTATGCTCTGCAAGATATATATGAACACATAGACAAGGTCCTCAAGCATTTCATACTTTCTCAAAATAAAATTTTCACTTTTGGTCCCACGACTCGGGTCATTCCACTTTAGCTCTCTATGTCATGGCTTTTAATTTCTTTCACTTTTGTTGCACCACAATGAATTTCTTGCCTCTTGTGGTCCTCTCCGGTCACTTATCTCGCAAAAACAAACCTGAACTTGTAAGGAATTTGGCTAAATAACTTGTAGGGAGGACCAAACTTGTAAGATATCCATAGTTGTGCATCATAAGTAAAAGGGAAGTCGGGCAGAGACACTAATAAAGGGAGTGAGCAAATAGTTGTGAGACCAGAAGTGGAAACATTTTCTCAAATGGGATTTACGAGTTTATATACATTGTTGAATAATTTTCTTAGCATAATGAAAGAAAATTCGTGCTGAAATTATCCGCTATAGAGATCTACAATGAAGTGGTCAGAGACCTCCTTAGCTCAGACAACACTCCACTTAGACTCCTAGATGATCCAGAGGTGAGCATTCAAAGCTTTGTGAGTATAAGGATCCGTTTGGTTGCCATAATCACTTATTCTGCTTATGAGCAGAATAAGTACCTTTGGACTGACTTATTCAGATATTCCAGCCCAAAAATCCCTTACCAAGCGGCCCCTTAATACAGTTTAGTTATCATATTTTACCATTTTGATTAACCAGGTGCTTGTTTACGACTTTCATTTTCCTTCAGAGAGGAACTGTTGTTGAGAAACTTTCAGAAGTGACACTAACGGACCAAAGCCATCTAAATGAACTTTTGTCTATGTGTGAAGGTAAAAAAATCTTTCTGTACGAACATATGATGTCATAGCATACTACCTGACCTGGTTTTATTTTTTTTACAGCTCAAAGACAAATAGGAGAGACATCTCTGAATGGAATGAGCTCTAGATCTCATCAGATTCTGCGGTTGGTATGTATTTTAGCAATGACACTCTCACATCTTATCTTCAATAGGGGCTACTCCCACCTTTTATCTGATTGTCTCATTGCTCAAACGATATTTTCTACCATGTGCACATATCCAACCAAGTTTCGAAATTGCACATTGTGTAGCCGTAGTGTTTTTTTAACATTGCATATTGCGTAAGCCTCATTGCGTAATGAGGCGTATGCCTAAGGTGTAATATATATGTATATGCGTGTGTGTGTATATATAAACATAATAAAAAATAAACATATTCATCAAAAGTCGTCAAATGTTATATAAAAACAAACCATAAAAGGCCATAATCCTAGCAAAGTTATATGTTCAAACTTCAAGTACCATAGAGTACCAAAACCTTCTAAATCGTTTATCAAAACAAAATTCTAAGATATGATAATTTAAATTTATTAGATTGATTGACTATAAAAATCCAATCAATAACTAGTCGCCCAAATAATACCCTTACACCCTAACCTCCTATTGCGTAAGCCTCAGAGCGCCTTATTGCGTATGCAATACTGCGTACGCCTCAGTGCAATATTGTGTACGCCACACTCCCAGAGCCATATGCAATGCCTCTTAAGCCGTAGTCTAGGAATTAGTTGAGACGTGCCATGAGGCGCAATTGCATTGCACAATCACAAACAATGTATCCAATGCAACATGCGTATCTCAGTCATACTCATCTATTGAATGTGACATTGCTTCACCGCCCAACACTCTAACTCATACAATAATACATATTTAATTGTTGTACGATAAAACTTACTCTTCACTATAGTTGGCATAACTCAACCACATATAAATCATGACACACTCTTCCATTTCATCCATCCTTTTTATTCTATGGGATACGTCTCCATCTAATGCACCATCCTTCCGAATTTTGAAGTCCAAGTAACAGAACATATCACTAACCAGGATCTCGTTACCATCTAGATAATACCACTGTTACTATTGTTTCTATACCCTCACTAAACTTGCACTCCATATACTCAGTTTTATTTCGAGTCAGCCTAACACCCTTGCTCTCCATGATTTGGCACCATGCTTCCAACCCCGCTTTAACATCTGTTCTTATCTCATCAATCGACACAATATCGTCAGGGCAAACATCACACACTATGATATATCTTCTTGAATGGACTTCATGATTTCATCCATGATTATAGCAAAGAAGGAAGGACTCAGAGATGACCCTTGGAACATGGTAACACCTTAGCTGAGCTGAGGGGTTCAGAACTTTACCTTTACACCCCTGACAGCTGCAAATGGTTCATGTTTATATACTCTATTTTTAGGGATTCAATATTTTTTTTTTAAATTTTAGCATTGAAATAAATATAATAAACATTTATATTAATCTATTTCACTTTCTGATTTTGTTGTTCTTGGTGTGGTTTTCCCCCGTTTTTCATTGCCATGAGAGTTTTTTATTGTGTTTTGATACCGAGCGTGTTTTTTCTTTGTTGTGTTTGATGTTTTAGTGGGATTTTGCTGATTTTTTTTGTTAGATGTGTTAAATGTCATAGCAGGATTTTGAGCTATTTTTGGTGAATGTACTGGTGTTTTTGTTCATTGGCATGCTATATTGTTGGCAATTGTTGTTGCTCTAGCTGGGGTTTTCCTGGTTTTCTTTGTTAAAAAACGAGGCTGGTTTTTTTTTGTTGCATTCATTATTGCTTTTATTATATTTTTTGCTTTATTTATGGTTTGTGCTATTTATTTTTCCTGTTTTTTCTTAGTCCCCTTGTGTAACTGTTTTCAGCATTTTTTCTTCAGTATTTGCTATATTTTTTTGTTGTGCAATGTTTATCTTGACTTTTCTTGACATTTTTTCACTAATCTTTTTGCTAGTTTTATTTTCTGTTTCCTTTTCCTGGGTATCTATCTGTTATTTTTTTGTTACTATATTATTCTTTTAGTTGTTCTATATGTTGCTGTTTTTCCTAGTTTCTTTGTGTATCTATTTTTTTTCCAGTTTTTACTATAAGCATTTTTGGTGTGCTATGTTTTACTGCTTTTTTGTTGTTTATTACGGAGTAATTGGTTTTGAAGCTTTTGCGGCACCTTGTTGTTTTAATTTTTTTTAATACATTTTCATGGTAATTTTCCTGCTTTTGTTATAATTTTATTTGTGTATGGCTCATTTTGACTATATTTATACACACTCAAATAGATGGCCTTACACACTCTATATATGAGGAACCTAAAAATAAAAATATAACCAAACAAGATAAAAAATTCTCTTACTTATTTTCCTTTAAATTGGAATAAACTATGTGTGTGTATTTTTTCTCTTTAATTGATAGTATTTGTCTCTTTGAGGATACCTTAATTGTAATTTCAGCTACTTACAATAGCTAGTTTTGCCAAACACGGTTATTTAAAACAGTTGGCTTGTATTTTTCATCTAGAATCTATTCAGGTAAAAATATCCAACAATTACTAAAAAGTCTAAAAAGATTTTTTGAGCTTGTCAGGCCAAACATAGCCTATGTATAAAACACCCTTGATTAGTAGTTTTTTTAAAGAACCTTGATTAGTAGTCAATAAGTCTTGTTTTAGGAAGAAGATAATAAGCATATTTATGCACTTTACTTATGTTTTAGTCCTAACTCCTATTTAAGGAATTTTCTCATATTGGAATATGTAATATTAGACCAACATTTTATCGACTGGTCCAAAATATATCGTTAACTCTTTTGATGTATTCACAATCATGCCCACAAATTCAATGATTTCTAATTTAAATTTGATTATGTTTGGTTTGATATTTTTTATTTGTATAATTTGTATAATTATTTTAGTTTTTAAAATATTTTCTAATATATTTTACAATTTTAATTTAACTATGTGTATATATACACACAAATACCATTGTGGATCGTTGCGCTTACCGCTACACTAAAAGCAATCACTGATAGTGTAGCACGCTTCTCCCCATTTATAGCACATGTGAAGTGCCACGCGATTCGATTGCACCGGCAGGCTGGCTGTTGCTGACACCGCATACCCGCGGCCCAATAATCTCCCCCCCAGCACCTGCCAGCCTACAACTGCGCAACATGCTGTTGCCGGGGGTCAAACCCGTGACCTTGGCTCTGATACCAATTGTGGATCGTTGCGCTTACCGCTACACTAAAAGCAATCGCTGATAGTGTAGCACGCTCCTCCCCATTTATAGCACATGCGAAGCACCCCGCGGTTCGATTGCACTCGCAGGCTTGCTGTTGCTGACACTGCATACCCGCGGCCCAACAACCATTGACCAAAAAAAATGAAAAATTCATTTTTCATGTTGTGTAGAAGGTGAGGATAATGTCAATGTAAATGTCCAACAATGAAATTTTCAATGCGAAGGTTATGTACATCGTACTTCATTTCCTCTCCTTTGAATGTTATAGAGTATCATATTCAGTCACCTCAATCTATTAAAATACAATGTAGAACATTATTAGTTATGTCTATTTTATTGTTAGTGAGTACTTAAAATTGAAAAATGTATAGTTTTTTGTATTGTATACCTTTGCACTTATAACACAACAAATGTCAATGCTTTTACTTCTATCTTATGATATATACATGTATTTAAATTTCCTTTGAAGTACATTTTTATATTTGCTTTTTTAGTCATGCAACAACTTAAAAATGCAAGATAGAATATTTAGAATCCGTGCATCCCACGGGTACCTTACTTAAAAACTAATGAAAAGTACCATTGACCACACACAAACTGATATGAAAAGGTTGTCCTTTGTTACGGAGCTAGGTGATGAGCTGGACAAGTTAGCAGCGGATTGGACCTCTGAAGTGAGCTGGCAGCTGAGTAACGTCCAAAAACGATTATCAGTTAGGGGTTTTTCTACGGTACCTTATTAAATAAAGAAGGTATCGGTACACAAAGTCTATTAGCCAATCAGATCATAGTATGAAGCCACATTACCTCCCTATCATATTAGTATACTAAGTTTGATTATTTGCATTCTTAGTCCCTAATGAAGAAACGGTTGACAATTGAAGTATTGAACTACCAATCAAATCCATCCCACATTTATTCTTAGTTCCTTTTGCATCCTATATAATCTTTAATTTCTGAAGGTTTTATTCATAATTTCTCTTGAAATTTCATTCAGTCGCCGATCAAAAAAATATATATTCACACCCCATTTGATGACATTTTCGGATTATTAGGCTTATCAATAAAATTTTTCATCAAATTTGTAATTTTAATTCCGTAAGTTGAATTATATAATAATCAAATAAGCTAAGTAATGTTGGAGTAATTTTTTTGGCTTAACTGGTGAAACTATTGTAGAAGTCCATTTTTGTTATTTTTATAAGGCAAAATTGACAAGATTAATCCCTACTTTCACCAATTAAATAAAAATAATCCATACTTTAAAATGTTACAAGAGTAATCCAAACTTGCCACGAGGGCCACACAAATAAATTAAATGAGACGGAGCCCTCATTTAGTCTAACGCCGTTTAACCATTGTATTTGTTCCTCTCTTATCCGTCTGAGTTTCTCTTCCTAGGACGGAAATGGCATAGTAGAAGACGTAAATCCAAGCAGGCATAACAGAGTTGAAGTCGCAAAAGACTACCACCCAAGGTTTTAGCACCAGATATAGTTGTAGGTTATTTGCTTCTAATTATCTTCCAAAAATATTTTTATTGCTAGCAACCTCAGACAATTAAGGCTGTGTTTGCGGGAGCTTTTAAAAGCACTTTTGAGCTCTTTTGTTAAAAAAAGCTAAAACTTGTGTTTGCAAAACTGAGATTCTGCTTAATTATAATCAGCTTCACGTCAAAAGCAGAAGCAACAATGAACATGCTTTTACAGATTCTGCTTAAATGATTCTAGGTATTTTTTTTAAATACGGCCAACTTTTTGGACAATTTAATCCACAAAAGTCCAACTTAGCCTTCACCTCTTCCTACAATATACGCCTGTCCTTCATCACCTCAGCAGGAAGATACTCGAGAATGGCACAGAGGTAAACAGGAGCACCGGCGGCGACTCGCCGGCTTAGCCTTTAATCTGCCGGCGCCGGCGGCAACCTTTCCTGCTCCGCTTGAACTCATAATTTTCTAAATGGAAACCCTAAAGCCGACTTGCGGAAGCTGACCTGCGAATTTGGCTGACACATATATATGGTAATTGAACTTTGGGAAGCCGGATTGGAAATTCCATCATCTATGATAGCCTAATGGGGAAGCCATCTCTGTTAGATCTTGAAGCTTCACATATTAAAATAATAAAGATTTGCTTTTAAAATTGATGGCAAAGGCCAAAGCTAAGGATTTATGCGGCGTGTGATTTACTTTATAAGGGCATCTTTGTACTTTTCGAAAAATATTATTTCACATTTTTATTAAAATGTGAAACACTACCTACTTTTATCAAACACTTCAACTTTTACATTTTTATTAAAATCACTTCTCTTTACAAACACTACCTACTTTTACTATAAATCACTTTTCCAATAATCACTTTAAAAAATCACTTTTCAAAAGCACGAGCAAACGCAAACATAGCCTAATTCGAAGGTTCGTTCGTTAACATTATGTCAATTATAAGAAAAAGGTGCTTATTAGAGATGAAGTAAAAAAGAGTTCTAGGGCTACAAATTGCAGAACTTTTATCCACTAATTCCTTGTAAATAGAGAAGTAATAAAGACAAACTAATTCTTGATAAATTACCAAAAACAATCTGGTGCGTATCTACAATTGTCGCAGAAGGCCGTAGTTATGCAATTTTAGCCTTTTAGGTTTTTTGAGAGAGATGAAAAACTAAGTGGATGGAGAAAAATTAGATCTACTTTGGCAGATTCACGTAACTCAGAATGGTGATTTGGACGGAAGTCTAGATCCGTCCCATTTATTCTATTTCTGGCACACTGATAATGAGTTCAGATTATTATTATAAAATTTTAAAGTAGAGATTATTTTTGTTTAATTGAAGAAAGTAAGGATTATTTATATCAATTTTGCCTTTTTATAATAACATTCCTTTCTTTTTAGTCACAACATAGATAATTTTAGGCAATTCACATACTCTACTTTGACACTACTTTATTTATTAATGTAAGAGAATTAATATATTTTTAAAATATATTGTTAAATCCGTCTCATTACAAATTTTCTAAATATAATTTTATTTTATTTTATTGTTACTAATATATAATTAAATATAACTACAATCAAATTGTGTGATGACAAGCGTGAAAATGAGAATGTTGCAATTTAAAAATAAGGGAGGAAGTGTAATTTTTTCCTTATTTATTAAGAAAATATATTTTAAAACAATTTTTTGTGATCCAACAAATTCAGCTCATTCAGTAGTTTCAACCAAAATTTTATTAATTTCATTAAAATAAGTCGTACCAATCAATTTCGGTATTATTAAACAGACTCTTACTGAATGTAGTAGGAATAAAGTGTTGAATTGAGGGTTTTTAAAAAATATTATTGAAGTAAAACTTATTTACAAAAACATGACTAATTATATTTCATCCGTTCTCTAATAAAATAGAGTACATAGTTTTTTCACGGTTTTTAAGAATAAAATGGTAGGAGTACTATAGAGGGTGTATGGTAAATGAAAAGGAAGAAAATGGAGTATATCAAGAAGAGAAAAATAATGAAAAAGTAGGAAAGGGAAAGTAGTTTGTAAAAAAGTAAAAAGAGTAAAGATAATAAAAGTGAGAGTATAAAAGTACTCTGATGGAAAAACTTATTAAAAAGATAAAGAGAGACAAATCTGACATAAGCCAACCTCAACAGTCTTCAGGCCGGACAGTTTGCACTTCGAGCACAGCTCCTTCATCCCCTTTTCGCTCATGTGACCGAGACGACAGTGCCACAAATTCACATCGTTTGTTGCAGAGGCAGCAACATCGATGCAGTCCTTCTAGTTCGTTGTCATGTACAACGTACCCTCCCTTTTCCCTTTAGCAACCAACAAGGCCCCCTTTGTGATCTTCCAATTTCTGCTGCCGAATGTAACTGCACAGCCTTCCTCTTCAGCATTACCACATGAATGGAACGAAGCTCCAGAATCCAGAACCCATGACTCCAATGGACTGCTCACGCTCAGGAGATCATCGCCAGATGATTCCGCCGCTACATTGGCTGATGCCTTCTCCTTCTGATCCTTGATCTGCTCCTTGCACTGGCTCTTGAAGTGTCCGTACTCCTCACAGTTCCAGCACTTGATCTGACTTTTGTCCTTCTTGCCCTTGCTGTTTGACTTGGATTTGGATCTTGATCTATCCCGATTTGACTTGGACTTCGACTTCGTTCTGCCCCGGTTTTCTGTACTCAACGCCGATCCAGCTAGACAAGTAATAAAAATATCCCAAAAAGGAATATGAGACATTTATTAGAGAACGAAGAGAGTAGTTACTATATATAGAATGGTATCATGGTCACTTAAATGTAAAAATTGAACATAATTTAAAAACTACGACTAAGTCTGGTCATTTATTACTATATGACTAATTTAGAATGATTGTAGTAGTATACTACTATAGTCACTGTATATAAGTTGTCATGTTTTTGTAAGCAATCTTTATTTTTGTCACAATTATGTAACTATTTCTTTCTATTAATTATATCAATATAATTAATTATTAAATAATCAAAATTATTCATTTAAAATACGTAACATCTACAAATTAAATGAAGGTAAAATTCAATTCACACAAGTCTGGTCTTACATTAGAATTATTCGGGTCCAATCTTCAGACCAATTACTTTGGCGATTTTAGTTCTTATTCGGTCCGTTCGGCTTTGGACTAGTACTCAACCCTATTATAATTATTATGTGCAACCAATTATTATTATTTTTATAACAATTCATATGTTACATATCAATATGAAACAATAATTGCAAGAATAAGATTATAATTCTAAAATTCTCTAAATAGGACTACCTTTCAATTTCTACTCTTGCATTATTTTAATACAATTGACATTTCATTGATAATTAACACATAAAAGTAATAACATAACTTTAATTATAATAAAAGTGGGAAAGAACACAAAAATAAATATTAAATACAATTAATAAAAATTAAAAATTTAAAAGATTAAAAAACTTTAAAAAAAAAAAAAAAAAAACAAATGAAAAAAATATATAAAAAAATTATGGAGGCCTTCGCAGTCTCTCCCACCTCCAGCACCATAGCTCCGACCACCAGAAAAAATGGCAACATGTGTCAGTAATGCCACCTCGATTGCAGCTTTAGAGAAAAATTGACACTTTTAAAGAGTAACAATGTCATCTTCATGAAATTTTTAGATAAACAATGACATTTTTTTTTACACAAAACGACATTTTCTTCGCCGATCGGAGGTGGCAGAGACTGCATGAAAGGCCTCAATAGCTTTTTTATATTGTTATGTGTTTTATCTCTACTTAATTTTAAAAAGTTTTTTTTTATTTTTCTTTTAATATTTATTATTTTACTATTTTCAAAACATTTTTTGTTTGTTTTTCATTTTTTAATGATTTTTTTATAAATTAATATTTTCTATGGAGTATTATTTTTAAATTTTATTACAAATTAAAATATGATTTTTATATTAAGTTATGGTAGGGATAAAATAGGAACATAGAGTATACTGTATTCTTATTTTGAGAATATAAATTCAACAATCCTCTTTGTGCATTTCGATTAGTTTTCTCCTAATCATCAGAAGCCTATAAATCTACTCTGGTGCAAATCTACTCCGTAATTGTGAACACTTGTTAACTGTTTTTTAATTGGGGACAAAACCACAAATAATCAAACTTAATATAATATAACCGCCCGTAGTACTAAATACTTGGTACTAATTTGAGTAGAAAGATAACGTGGCTTAATAGTAGTATGTGATTGGCTAGAAAACTTTGGGTAACGTGTTTATTTAAGGAGGTACGGTAGTTAGATCAGCTCATTTGTATGAACGTTTTAACCGAAATAT